AGCCTCAAGGATCTTGCAGCACACCTCTGAACTTTAACCCCTGTTGTTGTTTGGGCCTATTGACACACATCTGCTTTTGCTGGAGCCAGCATCACAAGGGACGCATCGGACTGATAATAAGTAAATGTCCTTTTTGTGTTGATATTTATTTATTTTAAACTCCCTAAACGTAGGCTTCAAGTCATTAATCACTTCAATACCGGGTGCTTTTACCCCCTTCCTGCCCATGCCAATTTTCAGGCTTCAGCGCTGTCACACTTTGAACGACAATTGTGTGATCATACAACACGGTACCCATTTTTACCTTTTTTTTTCACACAAATAGAGCTTTCTTTTTGGTGGTAGTTTAATCAACACTGAGTTTTTGGGGTTTTTTTTCTAAATAAAAAAACACATTATTTTTCGTTTCTATTACAAAATTTTTCAAAAAACATTTCTTCATAAATTTTTGGTCAAAATGTATTCTGCTACATTTCGTTAGTGAAAATAACCCAAACTGGTGTATATTATTTAGTGTGTGTGTGTGTGTGTGTGTGTGTGTGTGTGTGTGTGTGTATATATATATATATATATATATATATATATATATATTGTGTGTGTGTGTGTGTCTATCTACCTATCTACCTACCTATCTATCCGATCTCATTTCTTGAGGCCCAAAACCGCTAGGATAGTATAAATATACCCCAAATGACCCTTTTTGGAAAATAGACAGTTCAAGGTATTTTAGTAAGAGGCATAGCAAGGTTTTTTTTTTTTTTTTTTTTTTTTGTCACAATTTTTAAAACCGTAGTAAACTGCAGGGGGAAAAAAAATTCCCCGCAAGGTAATGTCATAGTGTGCTAGAATGCATCACATACTAGCACATTATGTAGGACTTACCTTAAACTCAAGCCTGACAGACTGGGCCGCGATGACGCATACGCGTGGGAGTTCCGGGTCTTGGCAATGTACTCTGAAGGAACGGCATGGGTATACAGTTCTTCCAGAGTGCATGCACTGGCTCTAAAGAAAAGAAAATATCTCCTAAATGGTTCATGTTTAGGAGATATTAATTTTACCTACAGGTAAGCTTTATTATAAGCTTACCTGTAGGTAAAAGTTAAAAATAGGAGTTTACTACCACTTTTAGGAATATGAAGAAAGACCATTTTTACATATTGTCACACGTCCAGTACAGCATTATCATATAAATTGCACGGTGGTGATCAGGGACACTGACTGGTGTGACAGTATGTAAAAAAAAAATTAATAGTTTTTAATGTTTTATATAAAGCAGAGCTCCACCAAAAAGAGGAAGTTCCGCTTCTTCCCCCGCTTCCCGTTTGAAGGGTTGCCAGTTTTTTTTAGTAATAACTTTATTCAAGTTTAACAAAGCATAACACATAGCAGTGAAACATCTCCAACAGTAAGCAGTGAGTACATAAAACTCAAAATACAAAGGCATACCAGGTTTGCATTACAAGGTTCGCATTACAAAACGGGCACCTTCTTTGCTCAATCAGAAAATGGACAGCAACTGTATTGAAGATGCCGGGGACACGGGATGGCCGGTGTGAGGACACCACAGGATCGAGGTTCAGGTGTCTGTGTTTTAAGTCAGCAGTTTTTGTAGCTGATGACGTTTTTAATTTTTTTTTTTTTTTTTTCTTCAAATTTTGACTGTACCTCCACTTTAAATTTTTTTTTTTTTTTTTTTACAAAAAAAGTTTTTTTTTTTTTTTTTCTATTTTTTACGATTTCTTTTTTTTTAACACTCTGACTAAAGCAATACAGTGTTACTATAGTAACACTGTACTACTCTGGGGAAGTGATCAGGATTTTTTTTTTTCTTTTGTTTACACCTTTGTGATTGCTTATACCAGTGCTTCTCAAATAGTGGGGCGCGAGGCTCCAGCAAGGGGGGCGCGTCGCCGTCGCCGCCCCCCCCCTTCCGACAGAAGGGACACTAAGTACAGGGGTGGGCAGAGGGCTGCTGTCTCTTACCTGGCTCCCAGGATGATCCATCCAGGAAGCGCTGCTCCTTCCGTCACTCCGGCCACTCCGTCACTCCTGCCGCTTGGCTCCGCCTCCTCACCGGTGATTGGCTGCCAGAACTGTAGCTCAGGAAAGGTACACAGGCGGCCAATCACGGGCGAGGAGGCGGAGCCGAGCGGACCCTCGAAAATCGAGTGAGGGAAAAGCCGGTAAGTGTGCAGTGCAGAGGTGCTGCTGCAACTACATATGCTGGCTGCAGCAGCACCATACTGCAACAGGGGTCTGCAAGTGTCATTGGTGTCAGTGGGAGGAATAGTGCCGCATCATTGGTGTCACTGATACTAATGATGGGGCATTATTCCTCCCACTGACACCAACGATGGGGCACTATTCCTCCCACTGACACCAACGATGGGGCACTATTCCTCCCACTGACACCAACGATGGGGCACTATTCCTCCCACTGACACCAACGATGGGGCACTATTCCTCCCACTGACACCAACGATGGGGCACTATTCCTCCCACTGACACAAACGATGGGGCACTATTCCTCCCCCCCACTGACACCAACGATGGGGCACTATTCCTCTCCCCACTGACAGGGTACTATTCCTCCCACTGACACCAATGTTGGGACACTATTCCTCCCACTGACACCAATGATGGGGCTCTATTCCTCCCACTGACACCAATGATGGGGCTCTATTCCTCCCACTGACACCAATGATGGGGCTCTATTCCTCCCACTGACACCAATGATGGGGCTCTATTCCTCCCACTGACACCAATGATGGGGTGCTATTCCTCCCACTGACACCAATGTTGGGACGCTATTCCTCCCACTGACACCAATGATGGGACACTATTCCTCCCACTGACACCAATAATGAGGCACTATTCCTCCCACTGACACCAATGATGGGGCGCCAATGATTAGGTCCTAAGTAAATATTGGTGATCGGTTTGAATTCATTATTATTTATTAATGTATTTTTTCAGTATCATATGGTTTGACATGTCCAATCAAAAAATGTTTATACTTTAATTAAGGATTTAATTTTTTTTGAATTTCTAATGCACTTTAAATCTTTTCTGCTACAGTTAATAAAGCTATTCTTTGTTGTAAATTGATCCACATTTCTTTCTTTTTTTATTCTCTTATACGTTAATAAGGATACAGTGTTATGCAGAGGTGTACTTATAACAATTTTATAGACAAATGATACTATTTACAGTCGCGCGAAATGTTTTCTTTTTCCTGGGGGGGGGGGGGGGGGGGGGGCATGACAGAAAATAATTGAGAAGCACTGGCTTATACCAATGTATTTCATTGATCTTTGTCTTTTTAATGTGATTAGCTGTGATTTGGCCAAAGCTAATCACATGGTACAGATGGGCTGTGATTGGCCCTGTCTGTACGATGTGATCGCTGTAACCAATCACAGCTAACACCATCAATTGTATACAAAAGATGGCATGAAAGGAAGCCATCCATTGTTTACAGTTGTGATTGGTCACAGCGATCACATGACACTGGTAGTGTGCCGGTCTAGTGACCAGTCATTGGCTTCGCATGAGCGGTGCCTTCTGATAGGACATCATATGACGCCCACTAAGAAGAAGGAACGTCCCGCTCGGCCATCAATCTGCTATAAGTGCAGGAAGGTGTTAATAATCTTCGTACATTTTAGTCCACTGTAGAACTAGGAAGAACGTGTGTGTGTGTATTTTTGTTTTTTTTTTTTACTTCCTACATTTGCTGTGCCAGTACCAATTTTGCTTTTGAAAATGCTTAGCCTTTTTTCCCCCATTTTTTTTGTCTTTAACATAATCAATTTATTAATTTTTGCCTTTACCAGCAATTTTGTTTACTAATCTGACTTTGAAATCAAATTTATAAGGAAAGTTTTGGTTCCTAAAAGTAGTATACGTTGTATTGGCAAGTTTTTTGACATAGGAAATTATTTTGAAGCAATCTGAAGCTGTATGTTCTTAGTTGTTCCACCGGGAAAAATGAGCTTTTATGGAAATCTTTATATTAAACACAGTTTAACTGATGTCAGTTTATAGCAAGACTTACAGCTAAATCATGTAGCCATGTAAATTTCACTTGCGGCAGTATATGATAATTATTTGACTACTTTACAACACTAGAAAAATGAGGCCTAGTAACCTCAACTGGCCAATAAAAGTAGAAGTAATAATAACTTCTTTGGATACAAGGTCAGTCTCCTTTTTTTTTTTTTTTCTTTTTTTTTTAAATGTGTGTGTAACAAATTGCATACAAATGGAACACGAGGATTTAATGTACATGATTCCAGTAAAGAAGTAAATTATCCCACTAGGTAAAGCGCGTGTGCCTCTAAAACACTGGATTTAAAAAATAATGATAATATAGTGAACACTTATCTGTATTGTTTTCTCTTTGTTGTGACAAGAAGGGAAACCAAAGTGGTGATAGCCTACTGGCCCACACTGAGAGAGATCACACACATGTTCTTGTAAAGTTTACGGGTAACAGATTTGAATAATTACTGGCATTCCTGTGTATGGGCCAGTGCACTGGAGAGTGATGTTTAAAGGCAAAGGAACTTGGACAGAGTAAATATAACAAACACTCTGATTTATTGCCATTTCTGCACTCCCTCTCTCTTTTTTTTTTTTTTCCTCCTTTTTTTGGCTTTTGCAAGCTGGGTTTGGAAACCTCTGTGCCAAGAACATAGTGTTGCATGATAAATAGCCACACTGATGTATATCATTAGGAAAGCTCACGTTGTTTGCGGCTGACAAAAATGTACAAGACCCAACATGGGAATAGTAAACCGTGAAACAGGAAAAATGTGCGACAGATTAGAAAATAAACATTAAAGGAATGCCAATAAGAGCAGCGTGTGTCTCTTCAGAGCGTCAGGCACTGAATATAATAAAATATTGTACTGCTTGTGTTTTTTTTTTTTTTTTTTTTCTTGTGGTGTTTTGCTGTGTTCTGTTAAATCCTGAGTTGCTTGTTTGTTAATTAGAATCCACGCAAGGCCAGAGTGACGAGAAGATTTATTGTTGCTGAAGGACTATATATGAATACAGGTGACATATGCCCTCTTCCACAACTGGTAAGTAAGTTCCATGTCTAGAGTACAGATGTTTGTATGTGTGTCTGTGGGTAGCAGGGTAAGTGTGGGGGAAAGGCGCATTGTGATCAAGGGTGAGTTGGGAGGCAGGGGGTGCTGTAATCAAGTGTGGGGAAAAAGGGATACTGCAACAGAGGGTGGAAAAAAAGAAAGGAGGGTGCTGTGACTGGAAGTTTGCTGTGTCTGTTTGATGAGTTGGGGGGGAGGCTTTGTGACCATGGGGTAAGCAGAGTGTGGGTTGGGTGTTATTGTTTGTGTTGGGGGGGAGGGGGCGTGAAGAGTGAGGCGAGTAGGAAGTAGTCCCTATGGCTCAGAGGGTGAGGTTTGTGGCAAGTGTATGCTGTGCAGAGCAGCCAGATCCTTGGCTTAAGGTGTGGAAGAGCAATGGAGCAATTTTACAGAGGAGCAATTTGTAGAGGAGGTGCTACAGAGGCACCAGTGGTGAGAGAGGAGCAGTATAGCACTTGGAAACAGTGTGCAGAGGAGACTGTAATGGGAGGCAAGCAGTGCACAAAGGAGGTTTGTTTAGAGGAAGCAGCATGGGCCACTGGACTCCGAATGCTCCTACTCCATTTGTCACACAGGGAGGAAAGTATAGCTGACTAGATTCAAAGTGTTCAGCTACCCTGTGCATGCTGACCAGAGAAGGACCATATAGAGTATGACATTAGTTCCGCTTACTGCACTGCAGATTATTGATCTGTAGGTCTAATTGGGTTTTTGCCACTGGGGACCGGAAACAGAAACACATTGTTAGGTGGTTTTAGGTGTCCCTTTGTTTCTGTTCCTGAGTGGCAAAACCAGTGGAAGCAGAATATTTTTGTTAAAAAAAAAATATATATATATATATATATATGTGTATATGTATATGTATGTGTGTGTATGTATATGTATATGTGTATGTATATATATTTATATATATATATATATATATATATATATATATATATATATATATATATATATATACGCACGCGTGCTGAAAAGTTTGCATACCCTGGATTGATATTGAAAATGACTGCTCATGTAAAAAAAAATGTATTAATTTATTATCACATAGTTGTTTGGCTCCTTTAAATCATAATGATAACATAAGTCACCCAAATTGCCCTGGCATGTTTGGCTTTGGTACAGACACAAAAGGTGACACACACAGGGTAAAATATCAATTAAAGGTTAATGTCCCTTATCTGTGGCTTCTTAAATTGTAGTTAGTGTCTGTGTATAAATAGTCAATGGGGTTGATTACTAAAGGCAAATATACTGTGCACTTGCTCCAGAACTTAGTAAATGAGGTAAAGCTTCAATTTGCATAGAATACCCAAACACATGCAAGGGACATTAAAAAAAAAAATAAAAACAGCATTTTTACTTGCATGTGAATGGATGATAGAAATCGGCAGAGCTTCCCCTCAGATCTAAAGCAACTGCACTTGCCTTGCAACTACAGTGCACTTATAGGTGCACTTGCAGTGTATTTGCAGAATACAGACTATTTTCCTTTAGTAAACCAACTCCAGTGAGTTTGTTAGCTCTCATGTGGATGCACTGAGCAGGCTAGATACTAAGCCATGAGGATCAGAAATGAAAAGACCTGCGTAACAAGGTAATGGAACTTTGTAAAGATGGAGAAGGATATAAAAAGATATCTGAAGCCTTGAATATGCCAGTCAGTACTGTTCAATCACTTATTAAGAAGTGGCAAATTCAGGGATCTCTTGACACCAAAGTCAGCTAGACCAAATAAGAATGCAGCCACAACTGCCTGATTCAAAGAAAAACCTACAAGTAACTTCAGAGAAATGCAGGTTGATCTGGAAAAAGACGTGGTTGTTTCAAGTAGCACAATAAGAAGATAATTGAATAAAAAATGAGCTGCATAGTTGAGTTGCCAGAAAAAACCCTGTCAATGCTAGTACCACCAAAAAGCCCAGTTACAATATGCCTGAGAACACTTTGATACACTTCGCAAATTCTGGCACACTGTAATCTGGAGTGAGTGACAACACCAAAATAGGGCTTTATGGTCACAAACATAAGCACTATGTTTGGAAAGAGGTCAGCAAGGCCTATAGCGAAAATACCATCCCCACTATGAAGAGAGATGGGGAGATCTCAATTGTGCGGTTCATACAGGACGACCGAAGACTTTGCATGACCTGGAGGCATTTTGCCAAGATGAATTGGCATCTATACCACCTGCAAGAATTTGGGGCCTTATAGACAACTATTATAAAAGACTGCACACTGTCATTGTTGTTAAAGGGGACAATATGCAGTTAAGAACCAAGAGTATGCAAAGTTTTGAACAGGGGCATTTCATTTGTTTTATTATTGTGCCATTGTGTTATGACCTACAAGGGCATATGAATCCCATAAGAGATAAAAGAAATGTTTTGCCTGCATTCTCCGATTTAAAAATGGTACATACTGTATACAATTCTCCACGGGGGTGTGTGTGTGTGTATATATATGTGTGTGTATATGTATATATGTATGTATGTGTATGTGTACACACACACACACACACACACACACACACACACACACACACACACACACACACACACACACACACACACACACCCTCAGCATAGATGAGTATACCCCTTCAACATTTTCAATGGGACACTAAACTACAAAATACTCCCACAAATGGGATTGCAAACAAGATTTGTTAATTTGCACACACAAAAAAAGTATTTTTCCTACAAATTCATTCAAGACCATATTGCAAAAAGAAATACACCCCAATGAAATTCTTAGGAACAAAGCTAAATTTTAGACAACAAAATCCTAATTAATAAGAATTAAACTTTTAGTTGAGTCTAATTATTCATTAAACAGGTGCCCAGCTGACAGTTGATTTATAAAAGGATGTTGCTTAACAAAGAAAACCCCTTCCCATTTCATGCTGTCAGCAATGGCACCACATGGAAGAGAAATGTCACAAGGCCGGAGAAGAAAATAATTTCTTTACACAAGAAAGGTGAAGGCTACAAGAAGATCAGCAATGCTTTACTTATCAGTCAGAATACTGTAGCAAAAGTAATACAAAAATATAACAAAGATGGAACTGCAACAATCTCACAGAGATGTCCAGGCTATCCATGGAAGTTTATACCTCGACAGGAGCATCTTCTGATGAGAAGGGTTGCAGAAAATAGCCATGCAAGTTCATTGCAGTTAGCTAATGAAGTAGAAAGCCAAACAGAGGTGATTGTTTCCCATGACACAATATGGCGTTCACTGCAGAGGAATGGCATGCATGGGTATCGTCCATGTAGGAAGCCTCTCCTAAAGCCTGTGCACAAAAAAGCCCACTTAGAATATGCCAGGACCCATGCTGAAAAAGAAGACTACTGGGACTCTACTCTGGAGTGATGAGACCAAGATAAATGTTTTTGGAACTGATGGCTTCAAAACTGTATGGTGTCACAAAGGTGAGGAGTAGAAAGAAAAATGCATGGTGCTTACAGTGAAACATGGTGGTGGCAGTGTCCTTCTGTGGGGTTGCGTTAGTGCTGCTGGTGTCGGGGAGCTGCATTTCATTGATGGTATCATGAATTCACATATGTACTGCTCTACATTGAAAGAGAAGGTGCTACCATCACTCCGTGTCCTTGGTCGTCATGCACTTTTCCAACATGACAATGATCCAAAACACACATCTAAGGCCACTGTTGCATTTCTGCAGAAGAACAGGGTGAAAGTGTTTCAGCCAAGTATGTCTCCTGATCTGAACCCAATTGAACACCTATGGAGAATTCTGAACAGATAAGTTAAGCATCTCTCAGCATCCAGGCTCTAAAAGAGGTTGTTCTTGAAAAATGGAAAAAAGATTGATGTTGCAATATGTCTCAAACTTGTTCATTCCATTCCTAAAAGACTTGGTGCTGTCCTTATAAATCATGGAGGTCATACAAAATACTAGATGTAGTAGTTTTTGTAGTGGGGTGTATTTATTTTTGCCTCGGCTAATTTCAGTAAAGCTGAGTTTTTGTAATCGAAGTTATATTATTCTTACTTGCATGTAATGAGCTAAACCAGGGTTCAGCAACCAGCAGATCACAGCCAGGTGACTGGTAAATCACAGTCTGGACTTGCTAACCTTCTATCCCAGAGCATCAAACCGAGAGTAATGCAGAGGGACTACTTGTAAAGTTGGAGCTGTAGTAAGGAGCAGGAGCTGCATAAGCCAATGTCTCCTCTGTAGTGCTGGACCCTATACCCTGTCATGGTTGGTGGGTGTAACACCTGTAAAGCATGACCCATTCAAGTGAATGAGACCGCTCTGCAATTGCCCTGCAACCTTGGGCAGTGCAGCAAACAAAGGGGTTAAACAGTGGTGTGTTGCATTCTCACCACCTGCTTTAACCCCTTGGACCCCGCAGAAGCATGCAGTTAGAAGGCACTTGCAGAGTGGCCCCATTTTACTTGAATGTGTCTGATTGGCAGGCAGTAACACCCACCAAAAGCAAAAAGGGGTGTAATTCCTGCTGCAGCATGTGCACACCTTTGGCTGCTGCCTCTGCAGCTAAAGAGGGTAGGGATTGGGTAGGGATAAAAGCATGACTCAACCACAGAGTTTTACTACCCCTAACCTTACATGTGAACGAGCCCTAAGAGTGCTGCTGACAAATGCAACTAATTGCCCATTCATAAGTGCAGCAGGCACTGCTGTTCCTCTGCAAAGCGATCCAACTGTGTTTGGCAGATGGTGAGGAGGCGATATGTTGCCTCCTCACCACCTGATATAAACCCACGATTGCTGTACAATGCATGTGATTGTGACATGTAGTACGGCAATTTGATACTTGCCGTATTTTGCGCTCCATAAGACGCACCTGACCATAAGACGCACCTAGGTTTTAGAGGCAGAAAACAGGAAAAAAAAATTCTGAACTAATGGACTGCGGACATAGTACAGGAGATGATGACCAGAGACTGCAGACAGTACAGGAGATGACCAGACTGCGGAC